TTTCCCACACACATTTCTGGCTCTTCCCTTAATCCTGTCATCAGTGATCTGCCAGAAACCCTCATAACCTGCTGTCCCCTCAATACTGTGGACTCACCAGCCCACTTTGCAGCCCTGAGTGTGATTAGCATTTATGCAAGGAGGGACAGTCAACTGACATGCACCAACTGGCTCCGGGGCAGTGCAGACTGGGAAGGCCTCAGTGATGCTCTAGAACACACACATTGGCCCTCTATCCTCACTGGTGATGTGGAAGAACAAATTCATGCATTCACAGAGCCCTCACCCACCAGAAAAGTGAAGTTCCTTGTCATTCCTACACAGTCAAACCTCATGACCAGCCACTGCACAGTAGTGCTTGGAGGTGCTAAATAAGCCGCCTAACTCTAGCTAATAGGCAACTTTACTGACAAAGCTGTGCAACTATGAGCTTCGTACAAAGGGGGTTCAGCAGCGATGGCAGTTAGACTTGAAAAGTAAGCTCAGTGGTCTGTCTGTCAGTAACAAGTCTTGGTGAGGCAACAGGGCTTTGCTCCTGCTGACAGCACACTGCCAATGCAAAAACATGAGAGAAAAAAAAGCTGAGGTGCTTGCAGCCTTCTTCTTAAGCAAGATGGCAGTGCCTGATCCCAAACACCTTCCACCAAATGTACCTGTACTCACTAATGCAAGTCTGGATACTCTTAATATCAAAACAGAGGTGGTGATGCAAAAGTTATTAAACCATTGCCAATAGGCATGGCATGTACATACATGCCATGTCCACTGTGCCTTTACTTGTTTAATTGTTTTAACACATAGATGGCTACACTTGTACTAAATCACCAGTGAGCCAGTTATGAGTACTGCCTGTCTCACCCGTTCACCATTTTCACTGATTTACGAAAATATTTTACGTTATCTTATTTTGCTGTTACAAATCTATATAACATTATAGTAATTATAATGTTTATAATAAAAATAACACCATCGATATTTATAGCACTAGTAAAAAATACGCTTTTCCCGCCAATTAAGTCTCAAAGTCTACTAATTGACCCCTTTGTGGCTAAGCACTAGCAGAGCCATCTATGTACAGAGACATTTCACAAAAATATAAAAAATAAGCACAACATTTTTCCCATTTTTTATTAATATTCCCCAGTGACAATGGGTTAAGAAAGCCCTGAGTCCTGATAACATCAGCCCACATGTCCTTAAAAGATGTGCATCTCACCTGTCTGCACCTCTTACCAGTATTTTCCAGATATGTCTAACCTCTGGGAGGGAGGGAAGGAGGGAGGGGAGGGAGGGAAAGAGGGAGGGAGGGAAGGAAGGAGGGAAGGAGGGAAGGAAGGAGGGAAGGAGGGAGAGGGGGAGAGAGTGAGGGAGGGAGAGAGAGAGAGAGAAAGGGAGAGAAAGAGAGGGAGAGAGAGAGAAGGAGAGAGAGAGAGAGAGAGAGAGAGAGAGAGAGAGAGAGAGGAGAGAGAGAGGAGAGAGAGAGAGAGAGAGAGAGAGAGAGAGAGAGAGAGAGAGAGAGAGAGAGAGAGAGAGAGAGAGAGAGAGAGAGGAGAGAGAGAGAGAGAGAGAGGAGAGGGAGAGAGGGAGAGGGAGAGAGGGAGAGAGGGAGAGAGGAGAGAGGGAGAGAGGGAGAGGAGAGAGGGAGAGAGAGAGAGGAGAGAGAGAGAGAGAGAGAGAGAGAGAGAGAGAGAGAGAGAGAGAGAGAGAGAGAGAGAGAGAGAGAGAGAGAGAGAGAGAGAGGAGAGAGAGAGAGGAGAGAGAGAGAGAGAGAGAGAGAGGGAGAGAGAGAGAGAGAGAGGGAGAGAGGGAGAGAGGGGGAGAGGGGGAGAGGGGGAGAGGGGGAGAGGGAGAGAGGGAGAGAGGGAGAGAGGGAGAGAGGGGGAGAGGGGGAGAGGGAGAGAGGGAGAGAGGACAGGACGGAATTAAGAAACATTTACTTACTTGTAGCATTCGCTGTTGTCTTAATGTAACGTATGGATGAATCCTTCAATTCCCGTATCAATTCGTTGTCCTCATTCATCTCCAGTGGATGAGGTCTGAACACCAGCTCGATCTCCCCTGATTCTATAGGTCCCTCGATCTCTTCACCGGGATTGCCGTCGTTACTGGACCCTGCACCTGATTCATTCTCTGAGGTTCTTCGAGGCTTCTTTACCCTAGGCCCTAGAGCTGATGAATTTGTAGCATTGGTGGAGTTGTTGGGATTGGCTGTGGTTGCAGCGCTGGTGTTTGTGGTGGTTGGTGTGTTGGGTTCACTGGGGGTAGGGGTGGAGGGTGCTGACGGGGTGGGGGTAGGAGTGGTCCCCTCCTCCTGCATGGATTTTCTGTTCTTCTGTCGGCTTTGAATCTGCAGCCTGATGCCCTCCTCTATGGAAGTAATTAAGGAAGCATGATTGTGGTTCTTGTTCAGCTTTGCAAACACTCTCTCTTGGTGCTGCTCGTACTCATCACGGCTGGGGTAGATTTTTGATATGAGGGTGTCGAAGTTTGGGTCTGGACGAAGTGACCTTTTAGACACAAGCTTTTTGCGACATGTTGGACATTCTTTGTTGCCTGATCTCAGTGCTGTGATGATGCATTCCTGCAACAGTGATTCCATCTTTAGTTATCAAGCTAAAAGCCTTCCTTTCAACAACCAACCAGTTAATTATAACTGAACACAACTATTAAGTAATAATCAAGTAGCAAAAAACATGCACTATTCATTTTCGAATCCATGAAAAATACATGAAAAACAAAAAGACAAGAATTTTGGTCACAATGTCAGGTAGGTATGATGAACAACCACTTACCTGGCAGAATCGATGTAGGCACTCCTTCGTGGTCATAGTGTTTTTCAACATGTCCAAGCAGATAGGACACATGAGCTCTGAGTGGAGAGAGCGTGGAGATACTGCAATTTCTGTACTATCAGTGATGGCCTCTTGTGGAGTTCTGTGGAGCTCATAGAGAGAGAGCTCCCATGTTTTGTTGACAGCACTTTGTTCTGTAGTAGTCATTTTGGCTATTGCTTGCTTAACGTTCTTAACAATATACTACACTTCTTCACAGTAAATGCTTCAGCTCAACTAACACACACCATCTTATAGAATTCCACAAAGATTATCTCTCTTTGATGTTTGATGATCAAGGTTGTCTAACTGGATGAAAAAGCTGGAAAAGTAAAAAAAAAATTCATTATATTCTTGCTCAGGTTGTCACCTGTTAAATGACCTTATCAATGAAATCTATTCTGACATTAAACCCAACATGGAACAACCCTTCTACAACAGACAGCATATCCAAGTTAAATGGCACAAAAAGTATAATATCAAAGAATCATGAGTAATGTCATAACTAATGTTCCTGAATAATATAGTGTATCTTCAGATATTAAGTGAAAAAAAATGTTTTTAAGCCATCAATAAATTTTTAAAAATCATGTAAGCATTACTTCATGTCAGTGAATATTATGCCACATCTATGATATCTGACAAAAATACTATGATACAAATAAATGAACAATCTTTAGAATATCTAATTTTTGGTATGGGAAAACTTTATGAACAAAACATCAAGTCAAAAAATATACCTGTGATGATGCAATACTTCATCAAGTTAAAAATATGGTAATACTATACATATTTTAAGAACTGTAACATTAATACACAAATCACTCTGCTTTTTAAGCAATCCTTCCATTCTTTCAAATACTGTGTGCTCAAGAGTCAGTAGATTAAGGCACCTGGGTACTGTTCTACTAAACCTCCAAGATGGCACGAGTGATTATGAACCCAACAATTCTTAGCACACATGTGGCTGTGTCATTTAACTTGTGCCCACCTGATTAACATATTTATTCCCAAGTTTATACATCTGTTTTACAGCCTAAATGAAGGTGATGAAAATTACACCAGCATTAACTATGGTACAAAAATATTATTGACATTTGGTATATAAGAAAATCATGTTACATTGGCTAATTAATGTCATGACTAAATGTAGTGTAGTCTAGTGTTAAATAATTCATAACTAGATATCTATAAGCAAATTTTTAAAGTAAGCCTTTAACAACAGATAAACTAAGATTTATGAAAACATCTACACACATGTATATTTTTTTATAACTATAAGATATCAGTCTACTTTAATTTTTCTCTTTAACATAATTAAACTTATCTCACAGCTTAAATTGAAACCTTTTAGTAGACTGGGCTTTCAAAAGGACAAGAAGCTGTGGACAAAACATGAAAAAATATATATATATTTTTTTGGAAAAAATACTGCAAAATTTTCTACAGAGTTTGTAATGATGTGAACAATTCACTCAATGGCATTTGATGTTAATTTTCTTATTATAAATGCTATTTGTATTATTCTTCTCTCTGCTCTAGCTACAAATCTGGAGTGCCTTCCCACCTAGTTGCTTTAAATAGGGAATGTTATATTTCTTGTCATCTAAAAAATAATTAAGTGAACCCCTGGTAAAATGCAATTAGCTTTATTCATGAAAAAAAAAATCCTACCTTCACCTACATGAAATCTCCAGCTGCCCAAAACCACTGTGAAATTTTCCTAGAATGGACACTCCCAAATATTTTTGGACTTTGAAAATCATTTTGCCAGACCACCAGTGGCAGATGGTTGGGCGTATTAGTATGGGTTACCACCAGCAGACATGAAATCCAGTGTTGGATATCTAACTGCAAAAGATGATAACAACAATGTCTACCATTCTGCAAATTACTAGTACTTATAAACAGCATATATTTGAAAATACAAACCCTAATTTCTGATTTTGAAATAGTTGCTATCTTTACATGCTCACTAAGTTCATATTTTTAATGTATATAACATAAACAATTTATAACCTATAGAATAATTCACAAAAAGCAAAAAATATATTAATAGTATAAAACTGTACACAAAACCAAGAACATGCTATATACAGCAAAATAGCATCCTCCTGTGTTTCTCACAGATATAGGTACACAACATACTAAACTGAACCACTTGACATG